TCCTCTGTTTGTTAGTAGTAGCCCACGAGTCAACAAGTAAAAAAAGAACGAATTCTATGTATTTGCTTTTAGTGTTTTTGCCATTGTTAGGTAGTCTACAAGCTGGATTGCTAGGCCGATTTCTTGGGGCTCGAGGGGCAGCCATTCTTACTACTGGCTGTGTTGCGATGTCAGCGTTGTTAAGCACTTTGGCATTTTATGAGGTAGCTCTTTCTGGGAGTGTTTGCACCGCAGCTCTATCGAACTGGTTCTCATCCGAAATGTTTGACGCTGGTTGGGGCTTTTATTTCGATACCCTAACGGTAGTTATGCTTGTAGTAATTACATCAGTGAGCAGTTTGGTGCACTTGTATAGCATCTCTTACATGTCACATGATCCTCATCTGCCACGATTTATGTCCTACCTCTCTATTTTTACTTTCTTCATGTTAATGTTAGTAACATCGGACAACTTTTTACAACTCTTCTTTGGTTGGGAGGGAGTAGGATTGGCTTCCTACTTGTTAATAAATTTCTGGTTTACTAAGCTGCAAGCTTCAAAGGCATCTATAAAGGCCATGTTGATGAACCGAATTGGTGATATAGGATTGGCGCTAGGTATTATGACTCTCTTCTCTCAATGTCAAACAGTCAAATTCGCTCCTGCTTTTGCATGCGCCCCCTTCCTTTATGGCACCCCTTTTCTGTTTTGTAACATGGAATTTGATGGCCTAGCAACAGCAGCCATCCTCTTATTTATTGGTTGTGTTGGTAAATCAGCTCAATTGGGGCTACATACCTGGTTGCCCGATGCCATGGAGGGGCCAACCCCGGTATCGGCATTGATCCACGCGGCCACAATGGTGACAGCAGGTGTGTTCTTGATTGCACGGTGTTCGCCAATTTTTGAACACGCCCCTACAGCTCTTGCAGTGGTTGCTTGCTTGGGTGGAATGACCTGTTTCTTTGCGGCAACTACTGGTCTGGTACAAAATGACATAAAGAGGGTGATTGCCTACTCTACATGTAGCCAATTGGGGTACATGATTTTTGCCTCTGGATTGTCTCAGTATTCTGTAGGTGTGTTCCATTTGGTAAACCATGCCTTCTTTAAAGCATTACTTTTCTTAGGTGCAGGATCCGTAATCCATGCTCTATCTAACGAGCAAGATATGCGAAAGATGGGTGGTGTAGTTCAATTACTACCATTTACTTACAGCATGATGCTGATTGGTTCACTCTCTCTTGTGGGGTTCCCATTCCTTACTGGATTCTATTCCAAAGATGTAATTTTGGAGGCAGCTTATGCAACTTATACAATAAGTGGTAACATTGCCTACTGGTTGGGTTCTCTTTGCGTAGCAATGACTGCCTATTACTCGTTTCGGTTGATATTCTTGTCTTTCCTCGCACCAACAAATGCCCACAAGACTGCTTTGCAACACGCCCATGATGCCCCTCTCTTGATGGGCGCCCCCCTAATTGTGTTAGCTTTTGGAAGCATTTTCTTAGGTTACTTCGGTAAAGACATGATGATAGGTTTAGGTACCAATTTCTGGGGAAACTCACTCTATGTGTTGCCGCAAAATCTTGTGCTCCTAGAGTCGGAATATATACCCCAAACACAGAAGCTCTTGCCTCTTGTTTCTACCTTTGTTGGCGGATTCCTAGCTTTCCTCTTTAACTACCCTCTACAGTTTGCAGAGAAGGGGTATCAAATGAAAACCCAGCTGATTGGACGAAAGCTGTATACGCTTTTTAACAAGCGCTGGTTCTTTGATAAGGTGTACAATGATTTCATTGGCCAAAAAGCTCTTGATTTTGGATATACCACATCATGGAAGAAACTTGACAAGGGATGCTTTGAGGTTATTGGCCCTTATGGCGTGGCACAAAACTTTCCGATTTGGAGTAGGCATATATCCCGCTTGCAAAGTGGGGTAATTTATCACTATGCTGTAATTATGTTGCTAGGTTTAACTTTGGCTATAACCATAGTGGCCCTATGGGATGTGCTGGAGGTCTTGATAGATTCTCGTTACTACTTTCTGTTCCTGATTACTTTCCTGTTCTGTAGCATTCCTAGTAAGCAGGGTTATTCTGTCGCCCCATCAAAGATGTAGTCCAGTGAGATGTTGAGATCCCCTTTAAGAAACAGTTCTATGACTTTGTCGTGACTCCGTAATGCTTGAATGACCAATGGTAGATATAATCTACCATTGATAAAAACAGAATCTAGTAAAACCCACTGGTAGATAAAGTCTACCGATGATAGATTTTGCCTACCAGTGGGCACATTGCTTCTAAAAAGCTATAAGCACCATCTTTATTCCTTAATAGGTTAACTGTCAATTTCTATCAATCAATTGATTAATCCCCCCCTTCACAAGTAGTAAAACATAAAAAAAGGAGAAGTTGCATTGCGTATTACTTTGTGATGGCTAAGCCTGCGCGAAGAAGAAAGAAAAGGTTTTAACAATAGCCACTTACTCCTCTATATTTCAAAATAGGGTCTACCTCTATTTCATAGAGTCCACCTTGCTGAAGGCGAGTAGGAGAGGCTTGAGCAAAAAAAATTAAACTCTCTATGGCTATCGAAAAGGCAATTACACCGCAAAAAATAAAGAATTTCACTATTAATTTTGGTCCTCAACATCCAGCCGCTCACGGGGTGTTGCGCCTAGTTCTCGAGATGAATGGAGAGGTTGTTAAAAGAGCGGACCCTCACATTGGGTTGCTCCACCGAGGAACCGAGAAGTTAATAGAATACAAGACCTATCTCCAGGCCCTACCATATTTTGATCGTCTTGATTATGTGTCGATGATGTGTCAAGAGCACGGATATTCTTTAGCTGTAGAAAGGTTGTTGGGCTGCGATGTGCCGTTGCGGGCTCAATACATTCGAGTCCTATTTGCAGAGATAACACGTATCTTGAATCATCTCCTAGCATTGACATGTCATGCCATGGATGTGGGCGCTCTAACCCCTTTCTTGTGGGGCTTTGAGGAGCGTGAAAAGCTAATGGAGTTTTATGAGCGCGTTTCTGGAGCACGAATGCACGCTGCATACATACGACCGGGTGGAGTAGCGCAAGATCTGCCAATTGGATTGAGCGAAGACATATATAGATTCGCCCGCCAATTTGCTTCACGGATAGATGAGATGGAAGAAATGTTAACCAACAACCGGATATGGAAGCAGAGATTGGTTGACGTGGGTGTGGTTACCGCTGACCAGGCACTTGATTGGGGTTTTTCAGGAGTTATGTTAAGGGGATCAGGTATTGGCTGGGACTTGAGAAAAACACAGCCATATGACATCTACAACAGAATGGACTTCCAAGTCCCTGTAGGTTCTAGAGGAGATTGCTACGATCGCTATTTAATTCGAGTTGAAGAAATGCGCCAAAGCTTACGATTAATTATGCAATGCCTGCAGGAGATGCCACAGGGAATAATAAAATCAGATGATCGCAAGATCACTCCCCCTTCTCGCTCACAAATGAAACAATCTATGGAATCTCTGATCCATCATTTCAAACTATACACCGAAGGGTTCGCGGTTCCTGCTGGCGAGACCTACACTGCAGTGGAAGCTCCAAAGGGTGAGTTTGGGGTGTTCCTTGTTAGCAATGGAACCAACCGACCGTATCGTTGCAAAATACGGGCTCCTGGGTTTGCTCACCTGCAAGGGTTAGATTTCATGGCTAGAAACCATATGCTAGCAGATGTAGTTACCATTATCGGTACACAAGACATTGTTTTTGGGGAGGTTGATCGATAGGTAGAATCCTCTATTTGGAGAGTCCACCTGTATTTCAATGTGCACACTAGTAGATTATATCTGCCATTGGTAAACAAAGTCCACTTCTTCTTAACATTACTTGTTGATCCCACATCGTGCACTGGACAGCATTCTATAACATATTTCAGGTTTAACAATTGTATTATGCTGGTAGTCGTTGTTTACCAGGTGTTATGGATTCAATGATTTTGGCATCAGCTGATAAACATTATCTATTAGCTGATGCCAAGCCCAACGAATTCCTTCCTTTTATTATAAACCATTCCTAAAAAAATGACTACCTCAATCCAGGACCATATGGAAATGGTTACCAACCACTGAGCAATAACATCAGGAGGCGACAAAAGGGCAGCTACTAACAGTGACAAGGCGAAAAGAAGTTTTCTATTCCTTATCAACAGGCCGGGACTCAGGAAACCTAGGTGATATGCTATGTAAGAAAGCAATGGGAGCTGTCCATACAACAGCATAGCAAGAAAAATTTTCGAGCTCCAATTCACATAGGAATCGATTCTAGCCTCTAGCTGAATTGTCAATATTTGGCTTTTTATTTCAAACATCAGCAAAATAGATGCAATTTCTGGCAAAACCAGAAAGTAGACACTCAACAGGGCAAGTATCGAAAAAAGAGTAGAGATCGACAAGAACAGACTCCACCTTTTTCTCTCTCGGTTGTAGAGGCTAGGCACAGAGAAGCACCAAGTCTGGTAACACAAAAGCGGGAAAACTAGACACAGACTAGTTATGACGCATATTTCCAGTGTAACATAAAGTGCTTCTGTTAACTCAGTAAATATAAAAGATCTCTCTAAGGAGATGAATGGCTTGACATACAAAAAAACCAATTCTCTAGAATAGATATAACAAATGCACAGAGTGATTGCAAAAGACAATATCAAATAAAAGACCCGATTTTTTGCCTCCAACCAATGGTAATACAGAAAAGAGCCTTTTCTATCCGAGAAGCTCTCCTGAAAGAAGTGGACCCTACCCTCCGAAACACGTCGATTTGTGGATAAAATTACGTTAGACATCATGTTAGAGCTCAAGTTTCTTTAATCTTTGCATTGGATGACTATACAGGTGCATCACTCTGATGATGAGACCACTGGTACTGGTAGACAAAGTCTATCCTTTATTTTTTCCAAAATTGAGTCCACCTCTATTTTTATAGAGTCCACATTGATTATTGGCTGAAATTGGTAAATACCTGAAAACTCACTTGGTGAAATGGTAGACACGGCAGATTCAAAATCTGCTCCTTCGGGATTATCGGTTCAAGTCCGATAGTGAGTATTATTCAGGGGTTGCATTGGCAATGATTAAATCCCGAAAAAAGCGGGAAGCAAGTTTATTGTTTAGACATAACTAGAAGAGAGGTTGGGGGCGGAGTCGAACCGCCATCTCAAGATTTGCAATCTCACACATTGCCTTTATGTTACCCAACCAATGGTGCCTCTCTATAGGCATTAATCGCTTACGTGCAGCTAGTAGGAATCTACCACAACCTGATAAATAGACTTTCAACCCACGAATCTTATAAGAGATCAAGGAGAATAGTTCCAACGGTAGAACGATGGTTTCCAAAAAGCGCCTCTAAATCGTCACTTAATTGCCTGTTCCTGCAAAATCTCTTTTTTAATGTGCAATTCTACAAGGTGAGAAAGATGTGTAAACGTCTGTAAAAAGTTTACAGGCCTAAATCATATTTTAGCAAGTAATAGAGAGCAAATTTTCTAGTCTAGTAGATGTGCACACACTCCAATACTAATTTCTATTTCTTCCTTAATTTTCTCCCTTTATAAAGACAGAAAATTAATGTCTCTGAGAAAAAAACCATTGTAATTGTACATGAATTCATCTAATGGAGAAAAGCTGACACAGGTTTAGGAAAGGGGGATTCGATAGCTAGCCCTTCGGCGAATAAAGGAGTTAAGTCAAAGCCTCCTGCCTTTCAGAATGAGGCCCTTTCGATGGCCAGGAGCTGTAAAGTCCCTCCCCATGCCATCGAATACCTTTGTCGATAATCCTATCTTTATGAGAAATCTAATGGATAGCAAGCATGATTCTGTTTCAAGAGAAGAGCCAAACAAATGCCACTCGTTTTTATTCTTAAGCTGCCACACTTAGCTACCAGCTATACATTGCAAGTGGAAAGAAGACGAGTCTAATAAATAGATTAGAATGTGGCGCGCAAGTAAACCCAAACCCTCTATTTTCTATTAAGAATAAAATAAATAGAGTCCACCTCTTCCATAGAATAGGGGGAAAACCCCTCTCCTATTGCAAAACAATATACCCACTGGTAGATATACTATTGGTAAATTATATTTATCTACCAGTGGGTACATTGAGAAGATTGAAACAATCTGAAACCAGGTGAAAGGTTGGTTTGTTTGCTCTTTTCATTGATAGACAAGCTTTCTAAGGATAAATACCCCCAATTCAACCTTGTGAGCACTTGTTGTCACAGTTTGCACAAAAATCTACAACCTCTATAAGAAGAATTTGTGCAAATGACACCTATTTTGTACGAGTGTCTGCTGTTGGCTACCTTTTGAAAACTTTTGCTTTGGACAAGAGTTTTAACCCCAAAAAGGGGAGCAAAAACAGATAAAAAGTTGTTAACATTTTCTTGTGAAAAAAGAAATAGTTTAACCAAGATGCTTGGTTGCTCAACTTGTCTATATCTGTGTAAAACAGTTAAAGGATCCTAAGGAAAGAGTCCCCTAGTGACGAAAAAGCGGAATTGCCTAAAAATTGCAGAATATTAGGACTCCCTAATATTGCAGTGCAAGGCACTGGAGCCCCCACAGTACTAAAACAATTTTTTGGAAAAAAAGAGCAGAAGCTACAAGTTACATTAAAGAAAGAAAGTTCATAAGTTGACTCAATGCAGAGCCTCCCCTGTAAAATCTTCTTTTTCTTAAAAGAAAAAAGAGAAAACTACCAAATTACCTCTGCCTTAAGCCAATCTATAGAAACAAACTGCCTATTTAGACAAAGAATACCTTTTTTAGGAAAGGGAGCAGTGATTTGAGATGGTATGTTTGCTGCACTTTTGCGGATTTTAACACTAAATCTTAAAGTGCGGAAAAAACCAACCTCTTATTAGAGAAAGCCGCCTGCGGTGAAAAACCGCACGAGCGGTTTGGAAAAGATGTTTGCCACAAGGTAACTAATCTCAGTAGAGACACTCTAACCGACCGTTTACAAATTACAAAAAAACGATGTATATATTCACAAGCATCAAGTAGTGTCTCTAGAGAGAGCATAATTAGTGATCTCTCTGAGAGGGAGATTCCTGAGATGTTTACATTTTAAGGATTGTATCGTAGCAAATATATTTAACACCAAAGGTTAAGGGTTCGAATCCCTTTTCTCCTGAAAGTGTTGCATTACACCACAGTACAACCGCCGGGAAAAACCCGGCTGACTAGGCAAATAAAGCAGCAAGTTAATGTGCCCACCGGTAGATTCTATTTACCACTGGTAGACAAAGTCTACCGGTGGTAAATAGAATCCACATTGGTAAATTATCTCTACCAATGGTCGTTCAATTAAAGATAAATGTTCGTTGTAAGGTAGGCAGCATAACCGGTGCCTCCTCGCTGCCCCGTCCTCACAAAAAGAATGTATATCATACACACTCACGATCACAAACATTAAAACAAGCCCATTTATTAAAAAAGGGCGGTTTTCACTCATCTCGTTGCTGATAGGTCCCCTTCGTCTAATGGTTAGGACGTCGCCTTTTCAAGGCAAAGACACGGGTTCAATTCCCGTAGGGGATATATATTCAAGGTAAAGGCCAAACAACAATGCTTGTAAGAAATTTCAAAAGATAGACTCTATTTTTAGAGAAAAAAACGGATAAAAACATGCGTATGTTGATTCGAGGAGGGATAAGGAATAAGCTTTTAATTGTTTAAATTAGTCTTATTTTGGCATAAGACTAAACAGAATGTTTATGTTACACATTTAAAAACCTTACAAAAACAGATTAACAGAAACATATTAAATTAAAGAGAAAAAAATCTTGTTATGGAACAGAGATTCACCAATTCGCTAATAAAAATTGTGCCGAAATGGGTTCAATCCCTTCAGTCTTCTAAAAATGAAGCTATCCTATTTGTTTATCCTGAGCATCTTGCCTCTCTGCTGCTTTTCTTAAGGGATTACACTAATACACAGTGTAAACAATTAATAGATATAACCGCTATCGATAACCCCACTCGTCTATCTCGATTCCAGGTAGTCTACCAATTGTTGAGTGTTCAATACAATGCACGAATCCGAATAAAGAGTTACCTAAATGAGGTGACTCCAATTTCATCAGCAACGGGAGTCTTCTCGTGTGCGGCCTGGTGGGAAAGAGAGGTGTGGGACATGTTTGGTATATTCTTTTATGATCACCCCGACTTGCGACGTATACTTACCGATTATGGATTCCAAGGACACCCTTTAAGAAAAGACTTTCCATTAACTGGGTATGTGGAGGTTCGTTACGATGATTCAGAGAAACGTGTGATAACCGAAGCCGTTGAAATGTCTCAGGAATTCCGATACTTTGATTTCTCGACTCCCTGGGAAACCTTGAAAAGAACAGATTAGACACTTCAATAGTTGAGGTGGGAGGTATTATAAATCAATGTACCCGCTGAAAGATATAATCTATCCTCTATTTCATAGAGTTCATATTGGTAGACTTTGTCTACCAGTAGTCTCAATGTTATCATCCCGTCCTTGATGCCTCTGGTATCGAGGTCTGAAGATTACTGAATTTTCCTTAATCGCTTCCTCTTAAAAAAAGAGCAGCTTCGTTTTGCCCTCTTGTGGCCTGCCCTCGTAAAACCCGCACCTACGAGGCTAGGCCATCAGGGTGGACTGCCTATCATAGCGGAAGTAGCTCAGTGGTAGAGTGTTGCCTTGCCAAGGCAAAAGCCGAGGGTTCAATCCCCTTTTTCCGCTTTACACTTACCGAATTTTTTCTGGATCTTGCTCCACATTGGTTGGTAGCACATCGCTATACTTCAATCCATCTACAATGCTGGGATCAACTACCGTAAAGATGCTGATCAACATAATCTTTACAATCCTTTCAATGTATACACTAATAGATATACCATTGGTAGATTATATTTACCAGTGGTTTCAATGTGCACATTGTATTATTGCTTTACACTTTACGGTTCTCCTCGGTGATAAACATTTAGGTAAAAACCATAAAAATAAAGAAAAACGTCCCTGTTGAAAACAGGCTCAACTTGCTAAGGGGAAGCCAAAATAAAGCTGATCAGCAAGCAATGCTTGTAGAACAGACATTCACAGGGAGAGTGGCTGAGTGGCTAAAAGCGGCAGACTGTAAATCTGTTGATATTTCTACGTAGGTTCGAATCCTACCTCTCTCACTGGTAGATTTTATCTACCATTGGGCACATTGAGTAAACACTGGTAAACAAAATCTACCAGTGAGCACATTAAATTAGAATTAAAACAAAAAAGAAACAGTCATTATGCCTCAATTGGATAAAGTAACTTTCTTTTCACAATTCTTTTGGTTAACTATTTTTTATTTGGGATTCTATCTAGTGATATTAAAGCACTTTCTGCCTAAGTTGAGCAGAATCTTAAAAGTAAGGCAGAAGAAGGTTTCTCATTCCCAAGAAGGGAGCACGGCTCTTTTGCAAGAAAAGGAAAAGGTTGGTGGAAGTCTAAATATGTTAATAGAACAAGGGGTTGGTACGTCGAAGAGATTGTTTCAAGAGAACTTAGAAAAGACTCAATCATGGCTAGACAACGTGGTAAAGGACACCAATCGTACAACTCTACGAAACGCTAACCAGTCATATATTGCATCTTTAGGGGAAAAATCGATATCTCAAAACTTAGTAGTTGACGTGACATTTCTGCCTATTTCAGGCAAAGGGCTAGCCGCTCTGTTAGCTGAAAAAATCAAGATTGCGAAGTAATGAAAAACCTAGATCAGGATAGGCTTTGAGGCGGTAACAAGTCTCTCTTCCCCCTTCGATGGCCAAAGGCGGACATCAAAAGGATTCGTTGGGGTGGGAAAGAGATCCCACAGCCCGCAAGAGTACAGGGCCTTTTAAAACCAGCGAGGGGGAAGAGCAATAATTTTAAGGAACTTAAAGAAAGAGTCACTGCTACTGTAATGGTAGTAGCAAGTGTCTAAGACTTGTTAGAAACAGGAGAACTAGAATAAGTTAGACTTAAATGAATAGCTGTTTTACAAGGTGTCAGAATTAGCAAGAGATAAGCTCTAACCATAATGGAGAGGTAAAGCTAGAAAAGTCACAGCAGAGAAAAAACGAGTTCTATGACAAGCAACGACAAACTGAGACCTTATCTATTTGCCTTTTTAGCCTTTTGCGTTCTTAGCTCTAAGCACATCATTATTTACAACGAAGAGCTTCTAGTTGCAATCAGTTTCTTAGCTTTTGTTGTTTTCACTTTTAATTACTTTGGGGACACAGTAAAAGAATCTTTAGACGAGAGACGGATAGGGGTAAAATCAGAATTGGAAAGGTTCTTTCTTTTAAAAAAAGAATCTCTTAAAGAACTAGCCTTGGAGCACGAAAAGGTGTCCTCTTTGCGCAAAGGTTTGGTGAGTCTAAAAACCTTTACACGAGGAGAGGCTGAGGCAGGGGCTAAACGCAGCATTGAGTCTCTTAAAGAGACTCTCTCTCAGCAAATCAGACAGAGACTTGCCCAGCTCTCTTTCTCCAATTTGCCATTACAAACAAAGTGGCAAAACCGTGTGGCCTATTCACAATTGGGGATGGTGTTGGCCAATTTGGAGAAGAAGTCTAAGGAGGGGGGACAAGGCATATCTTGGGACCCAAGGATCATAGAGAAAGCTTTGCACCTCTTAAAAGAAAAAGCCAGCTAATTTTGGTAATCTAGCCTATATGGCTGATACCCATAAGTGGAGTGCTAGTTTGGGAGTTCGATAACTATCCTTCGATCAAGTAGGGAAGCGATCTAAACTATATCCCAAACTAGCGTGCCATAGCTATAGCTAATTTAGCTAATTTGCTATAAAATTGTGCAAAAAAAAGGGGGGGGGTAAACTCTATGAAATATAGGATAGAGTGTCAATAAAGCAAGGCTTAAAGTAGGGAGCTTGACCCACGCTAAGTGGGCATTCTGTGCTCACTTGGTGAAATAGGTAGACACGACAGACTTAAAATCTGTTCCCGTAAGGGGCATCGGTTCAAATCCGATAGTGAGCACGCGACAGCTTCAAGGCGTGCCCTAATCTAAAAATCGGTATTCCTTGACTGATGCAATTGCCCATTATGCCCAATGGTAGAGAGAGTCTACCGTGGAATTGTAGAGCTACGAGAATGATGCAACCTCTATCAATCAACGCACAGCCTTACCACCTGAAAGCGGCGCATATACGCCCAACCAAAAGAGCTAGCATTCTTAGCTCAGTTGGATAGAGCGGCAGCCTTCTAAGTTGTTGGTCGCAGGTTCAAGTCCTGCAGAATGCAGATTTTATTTCGAAAAAGAATGCATTGCGATGGCGCGCTAAGATCTAATTTTGATCATTCCTTTTCTCTCTATAAAAGAGAAAGAATAAAAGAAAAAGAAATAGATTGAGCCTTGTGTTACTAAAACCCTACAAAGAGTAAACCCCATTTGGCTTAATCCATCTCTTCCACGAAGATTCCTTCTAATGCCGTTAAATCTCTATTAAGAGAGGCAAGAAGACCTAATGCCAAAGCAATGTGTTGATATGTAAGCAATTATCTTCCTGTAAGACCTGGCCTTGCAGGTATTCGAGTGATTCAGGGGAGCCCTCTGAAGAGGGGGCTCTTTCATACACTATAAGCACCCCTAAAAAACTTGTCTCCACCAGGGTGAAATCACCCCAATCATGGGGTTAATGACATTTGTTTTCGAAGGTTTCCAGTGGTAGGCTCTATCTCCCAGTGGACATTCAAAAGAAATGAAAGTTGAGCAAAATTGAGATCCTCTCTATTGGAGAGAAGTATTCTTTATTTCTCTCTTGGAGATAAGATCCATCTCTTTACAGAAAAGTGTCCTCAAGATCTTGCATCTTTGAAAGATTCCTTTCGATTTCGGCTCAGCGGTAACAAGGTCTTCTTGATCTTAAACAACACCAAGTTTCACAAAAAGTAAAAGGAAACTCAGTCATGAATTCTTTTGTTGAAATTACCAACGAGTTTACTCAATCTGTAGAACAGAGCACAGAACTAAATTTCCAGTCTTTTCTCTTTGAAAATGATTTCAAAGCCGTTTTACCCGAACTCTTCCTGGTTCTTGCCTCTCTCTTCCTACTGCTTTATGGAGTTGTTTGGACAACATCTGCAAGCACTGGGTATCCACTCCTGTTAAGGAATGTGAATTGGTTGGCGTTGCTGACTTTTGTGCTGACAGCCATTATAGCTACAAATAACCCTATAGGGCACGGTGTGTTTTTTTATCACACTTTCCTCTTGGATGATGTAACCTTCTTCTTCAAGATGTTAGTTGTGATTGGCGCACTTTCTTCACTCCTAATCTCTATGGATTACTTGGAGCGAGAGTCAATTAACGGTTTTGAATTTGCACTCCTGCTTCTCCTGTCTACCTCAAGCATGTTGTTCTTAATATCAGCAGCTGATTTCATCTCAATGTATTTAGCGATAGAACTCCAAAGTCTTTGCTTCTATGTCTTGGCAGCGTTCAAGAGAGACTCTGAGTTCTCCACGGAGGCTGGCCTGAAATATTTCTTGCTAGGGGTATTTTCGTCAGGTCTCTTGCTCTTTGGCTGCTCATTGATTTATGGATTTACTGGAGCAATTGAGTTCTCAGAGTTGTCTAAGATATTTGCTTCCTTAGCAACCTCGGGAGAGGTATACTCCGACAAATTGGATCTCAATCCCCTATCTGTTTATGGACAAGAGGAGAATATCAGCTCTCTCTTGTCGACATCTTCGTGGCGTGGTTGCGAATTGGGGATGATCTTCTTGATAATAGGCTTCCTGTTTAAGTTGACTGCTGTGCCATTCCACATGTGGGCCCCAGATGTTTATGAGGGAGCCCCTACTGCGGTAACAGCTTTCTTCTCCATTACCCCAAAACCCGCCTTACTAGTAGTGTTTGTTCGACTTTTATACCAAAGCTTTTACGATTTCATGATAGAGTGGCAGACCTTCATAATATTTTGCAGCGTGGCTTCCATGTTTCTGGGTAGCTTTGCTGGCCTAGCTCAACATCGAATAAAAAGGCTGCTTGCCTATAGCTCTATAGGTCATGTAGGTTATCTGCTTATCTCCCTCTGCTGCGGCACTCTGGAGGGATTGCAAGGGCTGGCGATATATCTTGTGATATACATAGTGGTAACGATAAACATCTTTGCGGTTATTATGACACCACTTCGTAGAACTTCACACTCCGCTCAACAACATCAGGGAGTGGAACGAATAAAATACACCACAGATCTTGCGATGTTGGCCAAAGGCAATCCATTGTTGGCTGCAACCCTAACCGTAGCGGTCTTCTCACTAGCAGGGATACCCCCTCTAGCTGGCTTCTATGGCAAAGCCTTCCTTTTCTGGGCTGCCTTGAGCTCATCTCAATATCTCTTGGCTTTGGTTGGGATACTAACCAGTGCTATAAGCTGCTTTTATTACATAAGGGTCGTGAAGATAATGTATTTTGAAGCCCCACAGAATTGGCTGAGCTTCTCAAGAATGTCAAAAGAGAGCTCTTTAGTGTTAGCTCTTACAACTTTCTTCATTGTAGCTCTTATGGCTTATCCCTACCCATTGTACGTGGCTAGCCACAAGGTAGCTTTAGCACTATCGATGTAAACAACTAGCAACTCAATATACCCACTGGTAGATTATATTTACCATTGGTAGACTTTGTCTACCATTATTTATTCAATACCTTAACATTGTCCACCTTGCTGTTGGTAGACGGTAGATGGTAAACCTCATCTACCAACAGCACTGCAACACACACAACCTTAAAATGATAAACTCTATGTTGATCAGGATACTTCTCTGTAAAGAGGTGGACTTTATTTCTTTTAAAAAATTAAGGATACTTTTATCTAATAGAGAGGGATTGAAGAAAGAGCTCTTTCCTCATTCTGTCTTAAGACCAGATGTCTTACTAAGATTTCTTACTTTACTGGAAATGGCCATTCTGAGACCATCTTTCGTGCCCATTAGTAGATATAGATACAATCTACTAATGGACAGATTGAGTAACCGATAGTTTACCATGACTCTGCGGTATATCTCTATTCCAATTTGGATAATAAAAAAAGGAGAGGGCAAGTAACTCAGTAGGTAAGAGTATGTGCCTGATAAGCGCAAAGTCAGGGGTTCAAGTCCCTTCTTGCCCATTGCATATCTCTTATATGAGAGATCTACGTTTCAAACCAACTCCTCTATCTCATAGAGTCCACATTCAAAAGCTGAACATTGTTCATATGTACGGAACGAACTTGAACCTAATCATCTTATGTGCAAAGTAAACATACCAGACAGACAATGTGCTATAGAGTCCGCCATAAACCCTATTTCTCTTGATCGCCTTGTTACGTTGCTAAGCTGAGCATCAGAAAGTGATACGAGTGTTTTGTCAGGCTATCAAATCCCCTCGTTAACAAAAATCCCTCTATTGCATCTGCAATGCAAGAATAAAAGGACATAAACTCCCAATCATCCACATTAAATTAATATGTGTGATTTCTCCGCCTATTGGTTGAATTAAAGCTCTTAACGCAGTCTCCCTTTAAGGGGTGAAAAATAAAAACTTACCACCTATGGATTTAGTGAAATATCTAACTGTGTCTATGATTCTCTTCCTACTGGGGATCTGGGGAATCTTTCTTAATCGAAAAAACATATTGATAATGTTGATGTCGATAGAACTTATGATACTGGCAGTCAACTTAAACTTTTTATTCTTCTCGGCTTACCTGGATGATCTTATTGGTCAGCTCTTTGCGCTGCTTGTTCTGACAGTTGCCGCAGCTGAATCAGCTATAGGCCTTGCGCTTCTCGTTGTATATTATCGTGTCCGTGGTACGATTTCAGTAGAATTCATAAATTTAATCAAGGGATAATCAAGCCCTCTATTTCATAGAGTCTACCTCTATTTTTGAAAAAGAGAGTCCACATCGAGCAAGACAGCAATATTATTGGGCAGCAATCCATCCTCGATCATCTGGCCTCACAGATGTTAGGCTACGTCCCAACCCGCTGAACGGGTAAAAAACCAACTATTACTTTTACATTTCTAAAAGTTGTGCTCCCCTCTCTTGTTGCATCTGTCTTCCCATGCGTGATAGGCAGTGCGGACCACTGCGTGGTAGACGTTGCATTACTCCTATTGCCCCACAATGCGCAATGCGTTTAAAACAACGTCTACCTGCTGATAGCTTTGCCATCAGATCCCAGGTTTCGGCCTGTAACACAACTATAACCGGATTTAAGCTGTATTATCACAAAGATAACATGGGAGTAAGCAAATGCTCAGTTTAATTTAGCTAAATCACTGGTGGATAAAATCTACCAGTGAGAACTCAACTGTTCTTGCATATTGGCAAAAAGTCAATACCTGAATTATGAAAGTGGGAAGTAGCTTAGCGGTAAAGCACCGGAATTTGGATCCGGGGATCAAAGGTTCGAACCCTTTCTTCCCAGTAAAGCCTTGGTCTGGGTAGCTCAGCTGGTTAGAGCAAAGGACTGAAAATCCTTGTGTCGGTGGTTCAATTCCTCCTCCAGACAATCAGCGATAGATTATATCTACCAGTAATCATTCAACAGAACAGGTATCTCACTTTGATGGACAAAGACTGTGGTGTGGGGGCCTTACCTTTCAATTGCTAGGCCTCACAAAGAGGCAGGGTCCTTTACCAAGAACATATGCTGAGCAAGCTGTGAGGCCCCTTTCCCATCCCCCTTCCCCATTCCAACGAACCCCTGAAACACAAGCGCCCAAAATAGATTGAAAAGGGTGTATAGCTCAGATGGAAGAGCATTGAGCTTTTAACTCAATGGTCGTAGGTTCAAGCCCTACTACACCCATTTAGGCAGTATCCCACAAAGAAATTCTTATACAAAAACAGAACATCGTGGAGGTGTGGCCGAGAGGCTTAAGGTATTGGTTTGCTAAATCAGTGCGACAAGAAGGCGCAGAACGAAATGTGGTGAGATTCCACGAGGCGTGCCTCATCGCCCCACTCTACCCAGACGCGCCTATAGAGCAATCTGTGGGTGTGAAGCTCCGGGAAAAACGTAATCGAAAGCGTAATTTTGCTACGTGAAGAGGTGCTAGAGTAAGAAATCCTTTGTAGGATTGTTTTGTTCGGAGGAACAATAAACATAAACTGTCATCAAGGCTTCGTCACAAACCAGACTAGAGACAGCATTCTGGATTAACAGCAAGATAGAATTTTCTAAAACATTAGAATGCTATCCTTAAGATATCTTACAAGGGTAACCCTAAAAACTCTCATAGTAGATAAATGGCAATCCTCTATATTAAAAAATAGAGTCTACATCACGTCTCTGATTTTGACGTGTCAATGAGGAAAAAACCCATCGGAGTATAGACAGATTTCCTACCGGCAAAAAAAGTTCGTTCTGCGAAACTTGCAAACCCCGTATTATTCCCTAACACTCTCCCTTGTGGGAGAAGTGAAACAATAAGAAAGAGCAAAAATTTCAACCTATCTTCCACCACTTAAAAATTTTTAATCCTTGATGGGTTAGGAACGGCAAAGATGGTTTTGGGTGTATATAAACAGAGGACACTCATTGATAGATTATATCTATCAATGAGTGTCCTTGGTCTCGTTTTATAATCTTTCCCTAAAATAGATTTTACAAAGAGGTAGAGTTGCAAAGCTCTATAACATTATGCGGGTAAAGGACTTTTTAAAAAGCGAAAGCCTTTGTGTAATGCAAAGGATACAGTCTTCAGCAGGATCTTATTTGCATTGTGCAGCAATGCAGATAAGTAAACCCCAACCACTGGTAGACAAAGTCTACCAGTAGTCACCTTTATTCTTTCTACTTCTTTTTGGTAGAAGGTAATAACTCCTAAGCAGACTGCTTCGAAAGAAGGCTTACTTGAAAAGGGCATCTATTCACTCTCTTTGAGTTAGCAGTTAACCAATCTGCCCACTAGGCAGATTGAAGAGAGAATAGAGATTGCTTGAGCCGTGTGCAGTGAAAGCTGCATGCACGGTTCTCTGGGGGGGAAAGTTTGTGAAAACCGACCTATCCCAACACGTACAAAATAATTTGTACCAAGGGTTCGAATCCCTTCGCCTCCAAAACACACCATAGCCCCCCTCGATGGCCGAGAGCTCGATGGTCGGCCCTGGCCAACTAAGGGGTGGCCATTGAACCCCTGATGAAACCATCAAATCCCTTCGACACTTCTGGTTGCACCCTATTTCTACCTAGTTGCTACTAGTAGACATTATCTACCAATGTGGGCTCTATGTGCCCACTGGTATTTGTCTATCATTGAAATAGAGGTGGACTCTCTAAAAGAGAGGAGTGGTTATATCTATCAATAGGCACACTGAAATTTAATCAATTCCCTTCAATGTCTCCTTCTTTACGCCTTAAAAACAGCAAGATTTTAAAAAACAATTATTTTTCACCAGCTTTGGGGGTGTAGTTCAGATGGTAGAATATATGCCTTGCACGCATCAGGTCATCGGTTCAAATCCGATCACCTCCAAGCAAAAGATTACAGATTTTAAGTCATCTATCGGCTCAAGCAAACAGCTTATAGCAACAAGAGTTTAGTTTACGTATGTGTAATATACCAGTGGGCACATTAAAAGGATTTTTTAATTTAATTGGCTTTAATTTTTCCCTTAGAGAAGGTAACTAAAGAAATTTGTTCTTGCCACCCAGAATCTAGTCTTTTAGTTGATATCTCATGGTAAATACCTCTAATTAACTAGAAAATAAACTGAAAATTTATATACTAATGTCATATTTTTGACTTTATATGGGGAAGCCCCCCCTCGTTAGCCTAGTCTCATAGATGTGCAGGACTCATAAGTCCTCACAAGAGCCCCACACCACAGCACATCACACTACACCCAGGTGCATTGCTATGTAATGTGCAATATAACAAGTAGATTGCTGTCCAATGCGATTGCTAACTCGCCAAAAGAGTGATTAGGGATTCTGACCTGAAGAAAAGATATAAGTCGCTGCTAACCTGCGAAAACAATGTTCAACATCGTGACACATTTCATAAACCGTTGGTTGTTCTCTACAAATCACAAGGATATAGGTACTCTTTACTTGCTATTTGGCGCATTCTCCGGAATATTGGGGACTTGCTTCTCTGCCCTTATTCGTTTGGAGCTGTCTCAGCCAGGAGACCAGATCCTGGGTGGGAACTACCAGCTTTATAATGTTATCATAACGGCTCATGCCTTTTTAATGATCTTCTTCATGGTAATGCCAGCTATGATTGGAGGATTTGGGAATTGGTTTGTTCCAATTTTGATTGGGGCTCCAGACATGGCATTCCCACGATTGAATAACATCAGTTTTTGGCTGCTACCACCCTCACTTTTCTTGCTGTTGAGCTCAGCACTTGTAGAGGTGGGCGCAGGAACTGGATGGACGGTGTATCCACCGCTTAGCAGCATAGCAAGCCATTCAGGTGGTGCAGTGGATTTAGCTATCTTCAGCTTGCACTTGTCCGGGATAAGCAGCATCTTAGGTGCAATCAACTTTATTACAACCATTTTCAACATGCGTGGACCTGGCATGACTATGCACCGGCTACCACTCTTCGTTTGGTCAGTGTTGATTACAGCATTCCTCCTGTTATTATCTCTACCAGTTTTAGCTGGCGGGATTACCATGCTGTTAACAGATCGTAACTTCAACACCACTTTCTTTGACCCAGCTGGCGGAGGTGACCCGATACTGTTTCAGCATCTCTTCTGGTTCTTTGGCCACCCAGAAGTTTACATTCTCATCTTGCCTGGATTTGGTATTATAAGCCATGTCGTATCTACTTTCTCAAAGAAGCCGATCTTTGGATATTTGGGTATGGTCTATGCCATGCTATCCATTGGGGTGTTGGGTTTCATTGTTTGGGCTCATCACATGTACACCGTTGGACTAGACATTGACACCCGAGCATACTTTACCGCGGCAACAATGATTATCGCTGTACCAACAGGGATCAAGATCTTTAGTTGGATTGCAACAATGTGGGGAGGGAGTATCGAATTCAAGGCCCCTATGCTGTTTGCAATAGGCTTCATATTTCTATTCACACTTGGCGGTCTTACCGGCGTTGTGCTTGCGAATTCAGGTATTGACATCGCACTACATGACACATATTACGTGGTGGCACACTTCCATTACGTGCTATCAATGGGCGCTGTATTTGCTTTATTCGCAGGGTTTTATTACTGGATAGGTAAGATAACTGGATTACAGTATCCAGAAACTTTAGCACAGATACACTTCTGGATATTCTTCCTTGGAGTAAACATCACCTTCTTTCCAATGCATTTCTTAGGATTGGCAGGAATGCCTCGACGTATCCCAGATTACCCTGATGCCTTTGCCGGATGGAACGCGATAGCGTCGTATGGTAGCTACCTTTCTGTATTAGGAGCAATCTTCTTCTTCTATGTTGTGTACAAGACCCTCACTGATGGGCAAAGATGTGGCCGAAACCCTTGGGAAACAACTCCGGGGCTATCTCCAACATTGGAGTGGATGGTTGGCTCGCCGCCCGCTTTCCATACCTTTGAAGAGATCCCTGCCATTAAGGACTAAAA